ACCCTGCACCAATAAATGTACAGTATGTTCCCAGATCATGTGAGGTGTTCAGCCATTCATTACTTCTGCATTTTAGTGACTATATCCAGACTAGATATAGGTTCAGCAAATAAAATTTGGAGTTTTAAATGCTTGGTGTGTAACTCCTGTAGTGCACTCTTCTGGGTGTATGATACAGTCTGTCGTGTAGTGGTTTTGGTCAGAGCAGAGATTATGTCCAGAGAGTTGAGGGAGCCATGCCTTCTTTAGAGGTTGATGGAGGCAGCAGCTTTTCCTCACACAAGAACTTCAGGGGGAAGTGGACCAGGAACCCTCGAACTGCCTTCAGTTCCTCTTTTGCCTGCTCCACGTCTGTGTTACAAAGAGGTTTTTGGCTGGTGTACTCCTTCAGCTGCTGCATGTTTTGAACAGAGTCGCAGGGAAGACATTTAAAGACCTGTAACAGAAGCAAAGCAGCTTAGCCAAGGAGGGGGAAAAATTGAAAATAAGAAAATCAATCACAATTATGACAAAAATGTGCAATTTGATTAAATTTATACCTTGTCGTAAATGACGGCGTTCAGTTTTGCAGTTTCATTCCAGACCAGAAAGAAAAATTCATCGCTGATGGGATCATCTATATTGATGCTGGGATCAGATGTTGCTCCAACAAGAACACTGTTAAAAACAGAAAAATAATGACAATTCAGGATTCATGTAATTGTGTAGTTGTAGCTGGATCACACTCTCCACTATCCCTTTTAAAAAATTGGGCCACACCAATTTGGGGTACCAAACCCAATGTGGTCTGGTATCAAGTACACTCATTGGCTATCTAATGCTTAAACATGGTGTTTGTTATGAAAAGCCTATGCCTGGCACAGAAGTTCAATAACAAAACATAGTTCTTAGCCGTTCCTTCCAATCACCTTTCAGGTGACATTGTTGCCCATACATTTACATTTGCATCGTTTTTATGTCTATATTTTTGATTTACTTCATTTTGTATATTGCTTTGTGTGTTGTCTGTTGTTCTGTCTGTACAGCACTTTGGTTGGCCTTGTAGCTGTTTTAAATGCTCTGTAAATAAAATGGTATGGTATGGTATACGGCCATTGAAGTATCCAGGAAACACCTCAAGCCAGTACTTAGACGCTTTCTACCCACACTGCCTCGGTATCATACTTGAATGGATTGAAGCAGTGAGTGGGGGTCGACACCAACTCATCCACGACGCTCCTTTGTGCCACAAAGTGAGGTAGTAACAGAGTCAAAACGATCGACAAGGTAAGCCGGGTTTACGGTTCAATAATGTGAAGTGATGACATACAATCTGTGGGCCCACTTTGTTGCAGGAATAAATAACAACCAATTTATTACCAAGAGAAGATTGGTGATGACGCACAGCAACTTTGCATTTAGATTTAAAAATCAGCTAACCACAAAGAGAATTGCTAATCTGAGTTAAATCATGCGGGGTTCCTCAAGGGTCAGTTGTAGGAACTCTTGTGTTTAGTTTATATATGCAACCATTAGGTAAGTCTCCACAGGAACTTAATGTTGGCTATCATAGTTATGAAGATGACACACAGCTATATTTAGCATCTTAGAGTTATGTCATTGTTTAATGTAAATAATTAACTGTATGAGCAAAAACTTCCTCCAACTGAATCGTGACAAAACTGAGGTAATTGTGTTTGGCTATAAAGAAAAGAGAACTGCTGTTAGTAAACACCGCTAGTCACTGTCTTTAAAAACATTAATGTCTTTTCAGTAGTCATATCAAATCAATCTCCAGAACAGCCTTTTATCAGCTTATGAACGCACCTAGACTTAAAGTGTTTATATCCCTAACAGACCAGCAGAAGCTCAATCATGCTTTTACATCCAGTAAACTGGATTATTGTAACAATCTACTAACTGGACTCTCCCACCCAACAAAACATTAAACAGTTACAGCTCATTTAAAATGCTGCAGCTCAGGTTTTGACTAAAACTTATAGCCGCTTTGCCATTAAGTACTCCACTCAGATCTCATCTTATCAGTTTTCCTCAGGTGTAGGTGATTTGCCACTGTGACTTGTTTCCCCGCTCTGTGGGCCGTATTGTAACTGGACACTGTTCAAGCCACTCCGCCTGTTGTGGTTCTTAATCACCTTATAATTTAACTTCAATTGCTTTAGCTTATCCCGGCACTGCTTATAAGTCCAGGTGTAGCCGTGCTGCGCCATCATCTCCGATATCTCTCTGTAAACGCGCTCATCTCTTGTGGTGCCGTCCATCAACACGATGAGGAAGTGGAGGTTCAGTTGTAGTTTGCAGTTTTGCTGGGCGGGTCATCCAGTGACGTAACTCTGTTGGCCAATCAACAGCTACTGTCTGCTTACGTCAAAATTGGCACCTGGGAGCAGTCCACTTGGAGCCACGAACAAGACGGTTCCATAAACTGGGCTGAGTGGGGGTGGGTACCATCAGTTGGCAGGCCCTTAACTGGTGCTGTGGGGTGTGGAACCGATGCGAGTTGAGACTGTGGCAAAGTGCCCCAAGAGATCTGCACATATTACCCCAGTTTTAAAATATTTTCACTGGCTCCCAGTCAGCCATAGAGTAGATTTTAATGTTTTGCCTTGTCATGTTACGAGGGAGACATCCATCACACATATAGTATTTAATGTGTAACCAACGTGGCCTGATCCAACTGTGATCTATGAACGGCCAGAGGAGAGCAGCATAAAGACAAGACCAGTCTCTGTGGCCATTTAGAGGAACTGTTCTGTGTACGAGGCTACACACTCAGATATTCTGAACAAACTCTGAACTGGTTTCAGGGCACAAGCTGTGACTGGATACGAGCCCAAATACATCTAGTTAGTGTGGCTCCAACTCACACAGGAGGCTTGGCTCCTTTACTGCAAGTCAGCTGACATTCATAAATCTAGAGCCAGTTTTCAATGTCATAAATCAGCGTGCGTAGGATCCAGGCCTTGACTGCCAAACCTGGACTACTATCCCTGCAGGTGGTGGGCCCAAGTGGAAGTAGCTTTCTGTAGTGTTTTTGGGCTTGGTCCAGCCAAACCCCAGGTAGCAATGTTAGACCACTGGTCACTCCTCTCCAGCCTCCAGGTTTGGCTTCAGGAGGATGCCCCAGTTTCAAGCAAGCCAAACTTGCAAGCAAATCAATATCTCATACACATGTACACACACAAAAGAGATCAGTGTTTGTTACAACAGTCAGCTTTGTTATACACTAATATTTTAAGCTCAATACCAAAAAAAATCACTTAGGGAATAAGACGTTTTTCCCCGACCTGAAGCACTCCTTGCGCAGAGCGAGAGTGAGGGGTCCTGCTTCGTATTCCTGTCCTCCCATGATGGATGGCACCCTCTCTTCATCCTCCACAAGCACTGCGAGCTCGCTGTCTCGATCGCCCAGCATGCTACGATCATTGATGTTTGCTGATCCTGAAACACCAGTGGAGAAAACAAACCTGTGCTTTTAAGCTCGTTGAACCAGTCAGTAACAACCCCCTAAATGATCTTACAGTCGGTATCTCACCAATGATGTAGCAGCGGTCATCAGCTATTAGAGTCTTGCTGTGAACGTAGATGAGCTCAGTGACATGTGACCCGGAGAGCTTGGAGTGTGTTCTGAGTCCACAGAAAGTGATGTACTCGGTCCACTGGTCCTTAACTGGGGAGACAATCTGAAATTTACTACTTAATGTTGATAAAACCTTAAAACTTTGTAAAGGAATTTATGTGGATTGTGTCTGAAGGAGTCAAGGAAACTTAAGAGTGGTTCAGTAAGAACATACCAAGAACCAGCAGCTTTGATTTAAAGAATTATTAAGAAAGGATCACATTTGTGTTGTGTGTGATTGTAGGTAAATGTTTTAAATGAAACAAAACAGAAGAAACAAACTCACCCTCACTAAGCTTTGAAAGGACGGAGTCCTCTCCACGGCATATTGTCCTTGTATATAAAAAATAACCACAGCTAAGCAATTTTCCATACAAGGAACAAACATAAAATAATGAGAAATGTGGCAAACCTTTATTTTGTGCATGTAGAAACATAAATAAGATTGTTTGTTACACAAAATCATGGGAGGAAAAGAAAGTCTAATGAAATGAAATTTTTTTGTATAGCATTTTTAAAAAATGCCGATGGTTCAAGTACAGGACACAAAACAAATACCAAGTAGACGAAACTAAATACAAGAAACCAGAAAAGCAATTGAGAGTACAGTAGTCCCTCATTTATTGCGGGGGATCCGTACCTAGAAGCCCTGCGGTAAGTGAAAAACTGCCAAGTAGAAATATTAGTACAAGTAGTAAGTAGTAGTTTATTTTAGTGTACATATATATTTGTTTGTGTGTTTAGATTTTTTTTTTTTTTTTTTTTTTTTTTTTTTTTTTTTTTTTT